GAAAGCAGGAGGAAATAATCAGAAATATGGAAAGGAGTTTAAGAAAGTACCTGGGTCACGGTTTGATATTCTCGAAGAGGAAACGGCGCGGCTCACATCAACAGAACGATCAGAGAAGAAAGAAAGCCGGAAAGGGAAGGGGATAGCGTCTGAGTGGCGAAAGAAGACTGTGATACCAAACCTTCAGACAGAGGGGTCTAATGAAGTAGGAGGAGGTTTAGGCGCTGGAAATAGCACCTTTGTCTTTGGAGAGAGTAGCAAACTGGCCAGTAATGGAAAGGAGACAAGAGAGGAGGTGAGAGGAAAGGGTAAGGAAAATAAAGGGAGTAACAAGGCAGAAGGAGTGGGTCCCTCGCCCATCCCCACGGACCCAGTAGCCAAACCCGGCCCACAAAGGGGGTTGAACAGTAACGAAGGAAGGACCAAGGGTAGGAAAAGAAGTGTTATACAAAGGCCCAAGATAGTTTCCCCAATTCTCAAAAGAAAACAAGTGCAAAGAGCCCATAACCTGGTTTTTGGATCAATAGTAGAAAATGGACGGGGGCATGACTCAATTCCGGCAGAAAGACATGTGGACGATAAAATGAATAACTCATATCCAATAGTCGAGAGGAACACGTCACTTAGTGAAGTTCAACATCTCATAGTGGATCAGATTGAGAAGTTGCCATCGCCATGTAAGCCGCCAGACCCAACTTCTATCATTCGGCAATTAGAGTTTGGAATGGACACGAGTGAGCCAAGTGATCATTGGTTTGAAACGTCGGAAGAAGTCGGTGAAGAGAATGGGGCTGAAGAAAAAGGAAGACCGGACACTCAGGCCTAGTAAGACCGCTAGTCCTCTGCTCTTTCCCGTTTTAGTTTTTTATGAATTTAATTGCTTGGAACTGTAGAGGCGCAGCCTCAAAAACTTTTCTGTGGAGAATAAACGATGTTCTAAAAGGCAGGGATGTTAAAATCCTAGTTCTCTTAGAAACAAGAGTAAGCGGAAAGAAGGCAGACACTATCATGAGAAAGTTAGGCTTCAATAGATGGATTAGGATTGAAGCTACAGGGTTTGCAGGAGGAATCTGGTTAATGTGGAACTGTGAAGATGTGTCAATCAATTATGTCTCCTCTAGTACTCAACTCCTTCATGTCTTCGTTCAGAGGACGAGCACTAATGAGGAATTTTGGCTAACTTGTGTTTATGCTGAACCTTGTCGAATTAAACGGCAACGGCTTTGGGAGGACCTTATTGATCTTCACTCGGGTATAACAGGTAGCTGGTTGGTTCTTGGGGATTTCAATGCTTATCTCTTTGTAGGAGACAAGGCAGGAGGAGGCACAGCTAATATCCTCTCAATGAAACAGTTTTCAGATTGTATTGAAAGGACGCAACTCATGGAGTTAGTCTCGGTGGGTAGTCATTTCACTTGGGAAAGGAATTTTCTTAAGGAAAAGATAGACTGGGCTTTTAATAATGATCACTGGTCAGAGAAGTACCCTTTGAGCAAGGTTTACCATTTGCCAAAATTTGGGTCGGACCACTGCCCACTGTTAGTTACTTGCAATCAGCTGCAAGCCCGGCAACGATCCAAACCCCTTTTCAGATGCCAAGCTGCGTGGTGTTTGGAGGAAGACTTTATTGATCTAGTCAAAGCTGCCTGGAATCAAGGTAATTGGCTAGATAACGTGAAAAAATTTACAGAAGACACCGTGTGCTGGAACAAAACTAAAGTGGGGAACCTTCCTAGGAAGAGGAAAGAAATTCTAAACAGAATTGAAGGAGTGACTCGAGCTAGGGGAAGAAAGGACAACCAATATCTGGCCCAAGTCGAAAAGGAGCTGTGGTCAGGATATAATAAAGTAATAGCACAAGAGGAGCTCATGTGGTACCAAAAGTCAAGATGTAATTGGCTCAATTGGGGGGACCGTAATACAAAATTCTTTCATGCCTCAGCAGTAGCGAGAAGGAGAAAAAATAGAATTGATGGTTTGGTAAATGAAGAGGGAGCGTGGGTTTTTGATCAACGACAACTCAAACAGCTAGCAATCTCTTATTATAAGAAGCTGTTCACTTCTGAGGCGCCTCATCTGGATGGATTCAGCACAATGACATCATTCCCCGGACTGAATGCAGGGGAAAGATGCTGGCTCTCCAAAGCGGTTGAAGCTGAGGAAATCAAAGCAGCGGTTTTTGATATGGGGCCTTTCAAAGCGCCAGGACCTGACGGAATACAAGCCTTTCTATATCAAGAATTCTGGAATGTGATAGGAAATGGTCTCTGTGGCCTAGTGAATTCGGTCTTTGATAACCCAAGTAAAGTTGCCGAGATCAACAGTACCAATATTGTGTTAATTCCAAAAAGGGAGGAACCAGAAACTATCAAGGACTTTAGACCTATTTCCCTGTGCAATGTCAGCTACAAGACGGTAACAAAAATAATCAGCAGGAGGTTGAAGACGATAATGAATAAAGTTGTGGGATCTCACCAATGTAGTTTTATTGCCGGGAGACAAAGTGGTGATAATATTGTTGTTGCACAAGAAGTAATTCATGCCATGAGAATGAAGAAAGGAAGTGAGGGCTGGTTAGCGGTGAAGGTGGACCTAGAGAAGGCTTATGACAGGTTGGAATGGCCGTTCATTAGGGACACGCTAAAGGAAGTTGGTATAGAGGAGGAAATGTGTGAGATTATTATGTTCTGCATCTCCACTGCGTCATCCCGGGTCCTTTGGAACGGTGAAGCTACAGAAGAGTTTCGGCCAACGAGGGGCATTAGACAAGGGGATCCGATATCCCCTTACATCTTTACGTTGTGTATGGAACGTCTAAGCCATATTATTCAAGATGCAATTGAGGAGGAAGCGTGGAGACCTATAAGAATCAGCCCAAATGGTCCTCCAATATCCCACCTCTTTTTTGCAGATGATCTCATCTTATTTGGGGAGGCGTCAACCGGACAAGTTGAGGGGATGATGGAGTGTATGGAGAAGTTTTGCAGTGCCTCTGGTCAAAAAGTGAACACAAGTAAAACAAAAATCTGTTTCTCAAGAAATGTGCATCACTCTAGAGCATTGCAAATGAGTCAACTTATGGGGGTAGGACTCACCGGCGACTTGGGGAAGTATCTGGGTATTCCCCTTTTCCACGGAAGAGCTTCTTACTCCCTTTTTATGCCCCTACTTGAGAAAACAAGGAGTAAGCTTACGGGTTGGAAAGGAAAGATGCTTAGCATGGCGGGAAGAACAACCCTGGTGAGATCAGTTCTCTCTGCTCTACCGACCTACTACATGCAAACGATGCTCCTTCCCCAACGTCTTCTAACAGAGATGGAAAAGAAAAGCAGAAGTTTCTTGTGGGGGGACGATGAACAGAGGAAACTCCACTTGATATCATGGGCGACAATAACAAAAGAAAAGAAGGAAGGAGGCTTGGGAGTTAAAAACTTGAAAGCTCAAAATGAGGCCTTCATAATGAAGCTTTGCTGGAAAATGCTGGTAGGCAGGAACATGTTATGGGTCGATGTACTCAAAGCAAAGTATAGTTGTGGAACTCTGAGTATGCCCAAAGTGGAGAAGAAACGTAACTCCTCCTTGACTTGGAGAAGCATAAGTAAGATCTGGAAGAAATTTCAGCAAGGGGTGGGGAAGAAGATTGGTAACGGGGCTACTACCTCCTTTTGGTTTGACAACTGGTCTGAATTGAACACTCCCCTGATCCATCTTATTCCGGGCAGAGAAGGCTACATTAATAGAGATGAGTCGGTTAGGGATTATGTTGACCAGAATGGGAATTGGAATACCGGAAAACTAAGGCATTGGTTTCCTTATGATGTTGTTGAGCGAGTAACGCGTGCGCACCCACCAAAAGAAGAGAGAGGAGAGGATATATATTACTGGAAACCATCTACTGACGGCCAATTTTCTGTTAAGTCTGCCTATAATTTCATTTCTGCAGGTACACGAAGAGAAGGAGAAAATGTTTGGAGACTCATATGGAAGTGGCAGGGACCAGAGAAGATAAAGACATTTATTTGGCTTCTTGCACATGGAAGACTGCATACGGCCTCGTTAAGAACTCACCGAGGTTTGCTGGAAGTAGCTGCTTGTCCGTTTCAGTGCCAAGAAGATGAAGATCTCATGCATGTGGTCCGAGACTGTAATAAGGCGCTGGATCGATGGAGAGAGGTGGTCGATCCCAGCAAATGGGACATGTTTCAAAGCCTTCAGGGAGCTGACTGGATCAAGTGGAATCTCCAACAAGAGGCAGGGAGGAACTATACCAAGAAGATTCCGTGGAACTTGCTTTTTGGTTACATATGCTGGGATATCTGGGTCACACGCTGTGAAAAGTTATTTAACCCAGATCAAAATCCAAAAAACCAGACGGCCAAGGACAGTTTTTTTAGAGCTTGTATGGATAGAGACCTGATGTAGAAGTACAAATGGAAACACGGCGAGGTACCTACTGCAGGAATTCTAAGAACTCGGCAAGATGCTGATTTCCACCTGGAGTCAGACGGGTCAGTTTTAAAGGATGGCAGGAGCGGCTGCGGAGGAATGCTACGCTCGCAAGAGGGAGGCTGGATATTCGATATAGCTGTAAATTAATTTCTGTCCCCCCTGTGATTGCGGAGATCTTCGGTATCTTCTATGGATTGCAGATGTGTTGGGACAGAGGGATCAAGGATATAGCAGTCCACTCAGATTGCATTGAAGCCATTAACCTTCTGGTTAGAGGCTACGACTTGGATCACCCGTTTAGAGACCTCATTGAAGAAACCCGCCTATTACTTCATAAAGACTGGCAAGTTTATCTGAGCTATGTCCCTAGAAGTAATCTGACCTTAGTTGACTTCTTAGCTAAGTCTTCCCATACTATGGAAGGCTCATTTCGTATTCTCGACTAGCCTCCTACCGTCAACAATGAAGTTGATCACGAACAAAGCGCTGAGGCTGTAGCATCGGCGTGAGCTTGTTAGATTGTATTCAGTTTTCTGATTCAAAAAAAAAAAAAACTTCAAAATTCAAATCTAGACTTTATGGAACATCCTAATTAAAGGTTACATCAACCTAAAAAATCAAATATAAAGCGAAATCTACTAGCTTTTTATTAGACTACATGGTTTACACATTTTGATTCATTAAATGTTGGATCGAAATATCATTGAAAGGAATGGCTAATGGCATATTGGAGGATGAAAACCTTCGAGACACTTGTTGCATTGATGGTCGAGACTGGGGAGATGGATTCAAGCATGCTAATGCTATTGTGACCAAAAGAGTCACATCTCTTGCATCTTTCCGTGATGGCAATGGGATACGTAAGTCTAACACATCTTTTAGCCAAATGCTTCCAGAATATGTCTTTGACAAAGATGATATCAAATCTCCAGGATGTCTTCCCATGATTGTTTCCATTGTCACCACTCCAAAACTATAAACATCACATTTTTCATTTACAACTAAGGTGTATGCGAGCTCTGCAATGGAGATAAATATAAAAAAAATTATGTGATTGTATTGTCTAGAGGTAAGTAAATGTAAAAAATGATACAATAGAAACAAGAGAATCGAAAAAGCTGACCTGGAGCAACATAACCATAAGTACCAACTAGAAGAGTTTGATTAGATGTATTTGGATCAATGATTCTAGCAGTGCCAAAGTCAGATAGAAATGCCTCCATCTTTGAGTTCAATAACACATTACTACTTGTTATGTCTCGATGGATAATTGCAGGGGCACATTCATGATGAAGGTAAAACAAAGAATTTGCTATTCCTTTGATGGCATCTACTCTCTTACTCCAATCTAATTCTTTAGCTTCATCATCATTATTCAACACATAAAAAAGGCTACCTCTTTCCATGTATTCATAGATGAGAAACATGCATTGATTATGTAAACAAAAACCATAAAGCTTTACGATATTGCGATGTCGAATTTCACTCAACATCTTTACTTCATTGTGAAAACTCTTGGCAAAAGATGTGTTTCCATATTCTCTTTTGTGAAGTTTTTTCAATGCCACAATTTTGCCGCTAGGAAGCTGTGCTCTATAAACACTTCCATAGGCACCGGTTCCAATACAATACTTGATGTCAAAGTCCTCTGTTACTTCAATGATATCTTTATATGCAATGTTTCCATCATAATTCCATATGGAAAACAAATCCCCATTTTTTCCCTCTCTTGTCTCACTTATGGATTTCTTGTTCCTTTTGAACCATTGAAGTAAAATGAAACCGACAACAAATATGATGACAAGAAAAATTGTTGAAGGAATAAAGATTTTCAATAATAAAGACTTTGGAGCCTTAAAAGAATCATGAATCTCTGGACCAAGTAATTCTTCATTCCCATCTAAAATGTCATGGGGGAAACAACAATAAACTTCACTTGGAACATAACTGCTGAGAAGATTGTATGACAAGTTGATGTAGTGAAGTCTACCAAGTTCTCTAGGTATAGTACCAGAGATATTATTGTAGCTCAAATCAATGCTACAGTCTGATGGGGAAGTGCATATGTCAGATGGTAATATTCCATCAAATTGGTTGTGACTAAAATTACCACAAAATTGTAGAAAATTTGAAATGTATGGCACTTTTCCACTTAGATTATTTTGGGAGATATCTAGATTAGAAAGATGATTGGTGAAATTTCCAATTTGTTCTGGTATGCTGCCACTTAACTGATTTTGAGAAACATCAAAGTATTCTAAACTTATCAAATTAAAAATCAAAGTGGGGATGGCACCTGCAATGAATGAATTAGAGTTCAAATATAAGTTCCTGAGATTTGTCATAAAACCCAAAGTTAAAAGAGAATGACTCAAACTTCTCCACCAAATTCTTAATAAGTTTGGCAAGAGTGAAATGTAACATACCTATAAGGTTGTTGTTAGACAAGATCAAGTGATTGAGATTCAAATATACTAGTTTTCATAGATTTGTGAATAAATTTGTGCACAAATGTAAGTCTTTGATATTTGTCATAAAAGCCAATGCTAAAGGAGTGGCTCCAACTAGATTGTTTCTATTCTATTTGCATGAAGACAGAATGTAAGTAAGATTATTGCAATAAAGTGTAAGTCCACAGTCATTATGGAATCCTTTGATCTCTCAAAAGATGAGCTAGAAAGAGACATCTCCACCAAGGGCTCATTTTAATTGTTTACTCAATTCATGTTGTACTATTACAAAAAGTAGCTTTAACAATACCCTTTTACGGCAGTTATAACGAAAAACACCATGAAAAAAAGGAAGTGGCAATTTTGTAATTATCTGGTAGTAAAAATTACTTTTCACGGTAGTTATTTAAATAATCGCTATGAAAAGTGTGTCCTTACAGTGAAAATAATAAGGCTGACGCTTGGATTTACCACAACATTTAAAAAAATGCTATGGTAAATGCTTTTAATGGCAGTTACATAGTTAACCACGACAAAAAATCTTTCTAACCATAGTCTCAAAAATTTTTTACAATGTTTAAAGTCCATAATGTCAATGACAAGTTCTAACTTTTCACAGCAACAGTTCATAGTCCCCCATTGTCATTTCCACTCTAATTTCTTTCTCCTCCCACCTTTGCGAGCTTTTCCCCTTGTTTTTTTTCTTGTCTCTGTCGTGTTCCTCTATTGTCGCCTCCTTTTCTTCATTCTTATTTGTGAGTTTTCTACCCTTTCTTCTCTATTCTTTCCATGACTTTCATATTTTTAGTGTTTTGGTTTATTAAAATGTTGTGGTTAGTGTTTTCTTTGATTAAAAGCACGATTTTGACATTTTTATGTAGTTTTGGTGATTAATCTCATTTGTGTTCTTTCTGTGTGAATTTGGAGCATGTTGGATTGGAGATTAGAATGCTTTGATTGTTAAATGCATGAAATACATTAATTACTTGCTCTCCACGGAATGAGATGCATGTTGAAGCTTTTATAGTTAATTATATTTTAGGTTTGTCATTTTTCCTTGAATTTGCAAATATTTATGTTGAATTTTTGATAAATTTTTATTATTAATCTGTCGAGTATTTGGCCAAAAAATTTTTTGTTAGTAATTTTGATTGATGATGAAATTTCTTGTCAAATTTCATGGTAAATGGATATTATTTGGGTTCCTGATTTGGATACAAAAGTTTTATGCAAAAAAAAAGTTCTATTCACTGGTTTAAAATTGTTGTTGTTGTTTTGTCGGTTATAATTGTTGAAATTTGCCTCTTCTATTAGTTAGTTGATTTGAACATTATTGGTTACTTAGTTGATCGACTTTGTTCCTTTTAAGATAGTGCAGCATATGAACGTAAGAAATCAACTCAAAATGAGGAATGGTTTTTCATGAACATTAGTTAAGATTATGGGTTGACAAACATTTAGTGTAGTTGAAGTTTAAAATTTTGGTGCTAATAATTGAATATAGTTTTTCGAGTTGATTGTCTATTAAATTTAGTTGAACTATGATTTTATTAGTTGTTAATTATTAAGTTCAGTCGAATTAAGATTGGAAACTTTTGTTATCTTAGTATTAGATTTGAGTTTTAGTATTAAATTTATTGAATTTTAGTTGAATTTAAGTTTACTAGCAATGACGTTTTACCTTTGAATTGGTTTTGCATTATTTCGGTTTGTTATGCTTGTTAGAATTGGTTTGCTTTCATTTGGTATTACAAGTAGAGCTGATAATATGAGTTAGACCCATGGTTGGCAAAATGCCAACCTGCCAAAGTGTAGGCTGTTCTAACTTGTACCGCTTTGAGCCCGCTCCGCAACAGGCTAGCTACTTTTCTTTCTTTTCTTTCTTTTTAAATTTTTACTTTCATGCAATTTTTAATATATTATACAACATAGTTGGAGGATTTTAACCCTCAAATTCCACATTGATATTGCCTCATTCATGTAACTGCATATGTAATACACACATGAAAGATCTACTTAACTAATTTAGATTAAAAAAAGTCAAATTAATATTTAAAAAAATGTGTTGATTTTTCTAAAATATCTTTTCAAATTATAAATTAATCCTCATATTATTTTATTATAACCCACTACTCAAATTTAAAACTCCAAGTCCAATTTCAATATTTCAAACTAAGTTCAACCTATACAAATAAGAATAATTTTTTTAAGAAAATATTTAGGCGAGCCAGTGAGCTGTGTGAGTTACTTTAACCCGCACCACTTTAGCCTTACATCATTGTGGGTTGACCCATATCCGTAACGCTAGCCCATATTACCAGTTCCAATTCTAGGGAGGTTATATACAAATTAAAATAAATTTGTATTAAAAAATTTAACTTTCTATAGAAGTTAATAAAATAACCACCATGAAAATTGAACTCTTTAATCCCATTTATTGAGATCTTTTTATAGCTGTTACTTCCCAAGAATTGCCATGGAAAGTCTTTTCATGGCATTAAGAACTGCCATAAAATTCTTAATTTTTTATGTCGATAGTAATCACTTCGTCACTAAAACCACTGCAAAAGATGTTTTTTGTAGTAGCATTAGTGCGGGGGATTTTGTTTATTTCTAATGGTTACTAAGGGCTAACATATCAAAATTCTACTAATCACTCCATTCCATTTAACAGATTTAGAGATAATAATTTTCATTTGAGACAAGGTTTTGCCAACACTTTGAGGTTTATTAATGTCTATTATGATAATAAATTAAATTGGTAGAAGAACAACTCCACTTGAAAGGTTTAATAGTCAGTGTAGTTTTACATTACAGTTAACTTATATTTGTGGCTAAACATAAATTTATCTGAATTTTCTTCTTACAAGAGTGATTAACTGGACCTCACATGTTGGCCAACCATGTGTTTTCATACTCATATATATCATACTAATGCTAAGGGAATGATGAGAGTGGGTTGAGAGTTATTCTGTCCATGCCAATATATATAATTTCCTTTATTGCTTTCACGGACAAAAAGTATACAAGGAAGGTGGTGGGGTAACAATGAAGGAATATGCTCACCAGTTCTTGATAGAAGTGCGTCATCATGTTTACAAGGTATCCTTATTCATCTACTCGAAACTTTTTTATTGAATTTTCTAAGACGACGAACAAATTAGTATTGCTTATGTCTTATAACATCTACTCTATTTTTTTTTATTGAATTTTCTAGCAAGATGAACTAATTAGCATTGTTTGTGTCTTGTAACAATTTTACTGAACAGTTAAATTGCAAATGTGTTGTAGGTTATTTGAAATCTAAATTGAGTAAATTTGAAATGTGAGAGCAGAAGGTGCATAACTCACAAATAATATTGTTGTAAGACAAGTCTAGATAAGTGAGACTTGGAAGAGCTCTAATTTGTGTCGGAATAGTACATATCGAAGCTAGTCATTTGAGTTGTAAATGTAATGGAGCTTATTTCTTATCAAATAAATATTAAGGGTGAATTTCCTCTATTAAGTTATAGAGGTAAATAAAACTTTAAATTGAGCAAATTTGCAAGATTAGAGTGAAAAATGCATAACTCACCAATAAGATTGTTGTTAGACAAGTCCAAAGAGATAAGACTATGAAGAACTCCAATTTGAGTTGGAATGGTACCTGTCAAAGCAAGTCATTTGAGTTCAAATGTGCTCTACGTTATTTCTTATCAAGATTAACGTATTCTATTAAGTTATAGATGAAAATACAAATCTAAATTGAGCAAATTAGTGAGATGAGAGTGAAAGACGCATAACTCACCAATAATATTGTTGTAAGACAAGTTTAGATAAGTGAGATTTGGAAGCACCTCAATTTGAGTTAGAATGGTACCTGTGGAAGCCAATCATTTGAGTTGTAAATGTATTGGAGTTTATTTCTTATCAAATAAAAATTAAGGGTAAATTTGCTCTATTAAGTTATGGGGGTAAATAAAACTTAAGCAAATTTGCATGATGAGAGTTAAAGGTGCATAACTCACCACTAAGATTGTTGTTAGACAAGTCCAAAGAGGTAAGACTATGAAGAACTCCAATTTGAGTTGGAATGGTTCCTGTCAAAGCCAGTCATTTGAATTCAAATGTATTCTACGTTATTTCTTATCAAGGCTAACATATTTTATTTAAGTTATAGATGTAAATACAAATCTAAATTGAGCAAATTTGCGAGATGAGAGTGAAAGGCACATAACTCACCAATAATATTGTTGTAAGACAAGTTTAGATGAGTGAGATTTGGAAGAGTTCCAATTTGAGTTGGAATAGTACCTGTCGAAGCCAGTCATTTGAGTTGTAAATGTATTGGAACTTATTTATTGTCAAATAAAAATTGAGGGTGAATTTGTTCTATTAAGTTACGGAGGTGAATAAAACTTTAAATTGAGTAAATTTGCAAGGTGAGAGTGAAAAGTGCATAACTCATCACCAAGATTGTTGTTAGACAAGTCCAAAAAGATAAGACTATGAAGAACACCAATTTGAGTTGGAATAGTACATTTCAAAACCAGTCATTTGAGTTCGAATGTGTTCTATATTATTTCTTATCAAGGTTAACATATTCTATTAAGTGATAGATGTAAATAAAAATTTAAATTCAGCAAATTCGTGAGATAAGAGTAAAGGTGCATAACTCACCAATAATATTGTTATAAGACAAGTCTAGATGAGTGAGATTTGGAAGAGTTCCAATTTGAGTTGGAATGGTGCCTGTTGAAGCCAATCATTTAAGTTGTAAATGTATTGGTGCTTATTTCTAGTCAAATAAAAATTAAGGGTGAATTTCCTCTATTAAGTTATAAAAGTAAATAAAACTTTAAATTAAGTAAATTTGCAAGATGAGGGTATAAGGTGCATAACTCACCAATAAGATTATTGTTAGACAAGTCCAAATAGATAAGACTATGAAGAACTCCAATTTGAATTGGAATACTACCTGTCAAAACCAATCACTTGAGTTCAAATGTGGTCTACATTATTTCTTATCAAGGTTAACATATTCTATTAAGTTATAGGGTAAATACAAATCTAATCTAAATTGAGCACATTTGCGAGATGAGAGTGAAAGACGCATAACTCCCCAATAATATTGTTGTAAGGCAAATTTAGATGAGTGAGATTTGGAAGAGCTCCAAATTAAGTTGGAATGGTGCCTATCAAAGCCAGTTATTTAAGTTGTAAATGTATTGGAGCTTATTTCTTATCAAATAAAAATTAAGGGTACATTTGCTCTATTAAGTTGTAGAGTTAAATAAAACTTAAGCAAATTTGTATGATAAAAGTTAAAGGTACATAACTCACCATTAAGATTGTTGTTGGACAAGTCCAAAGAGATAAGACTATGAAGAACTCCAATTTGAGTTGGAATGGTGCCTGTCAAAACCAGTCATTTGAGTTCAAATGTGGTCTACGTTATTTCTTATCAAGGTTAACATATTCTATTAAGTTATTGGGTAAATACAAATCTAATCTAAATTGAGCAAATTTACGAGATGAGAGTGAAAGACGCATAACTCCCCAATTTGTTGTAAGAACACTTTAGATAAGTGAGATTTGGAAGAGCTTCAAATTGAGTTGGAATGATGCCTATCGAAGCCAGTTATTTAAGTTGTAAATGTATTGAAGCTTACTTCTTATCAAATAAAAATTAAGGGTAAATTTGCTCTATTAAGTTATAGAGTTAAATAAAACTTAAGCAAATTTGCATGGTAAGAGTTAAAGGTGCATAACTTACCACTAAGATTGTTGTTAGACAAGTCTAAAGAGATAAGACTATGAAGAACTCCAATTTGAGTTGGAATGGTACCTGTCAAAGCCAGTCATTAGAATTCAAATGTGTTCTATGTTATTCCATATCAAGGTTAACATATTCTATTAAGTTATAGATGTAAATGCAAATCTATATTGAGCAGATTTGTGAGATAAGAGTGAAAGATGCATAACTCACCAATAATATTGTTGTAAGACAAGTCTAGATGAGTGAGATTTGGCAGAGCTCCAATTTGAGTTGGAATGATACCTGTCGAAGACAATCATTTGAGTTGTAAATGTATTAGAGCTTATTTCTTATCAAATAAAAATTGAGGATGAATTTGCTCTATTAAGTTATAGAGGTAAATAAAACTTGAACAAATTTGCAAGATGAGAGTGAAAGGTGTATAACTCACCATTAAGATTGTTGTTAGACAAGTCCAAAGAGATAAGACTATGAAGAACTCCAATTTGAGTTGGAATGGTACCTGTCAAAGCCAGTCATTAGAATTCAAATGTCTTCTATGTTATTCCATATCAAGGTTAACATATTCTATTAAGTTATAGATGTAAATGCAAATCTATATTGAGCAGATTTGTGAGATAAGAGTGAAAGATGCATAACTCACCAATAATATTGTTGTAAGACAAGTCTAGACGAGCAAGATTTGGCAGAGCTCCAATTTGAGTTGGAACGATACCTGTCGAAGACAATCATTTGAGTTGTAAATGTATTAGAGCTTATTTCTTATCAAATAAAAATTGAGGATGAATTTGCTCTATTAAGTTATAGAGGTAACTAAAACTTGAGCAAATTTGCAAGATGAGAGTGAAAGATGTATAACTCACCATTAAGATTGTTGTTAGACAAGTCCAAAGAGATAAGACTATGAAGAACTCCAATTTGAGTTGGAATGGTACCTGTCAAAGCCAGTCATTTGAGTTCAAATGTGGTCTACGTTATTTCTTATCAAGGTTAACATATTCTATTAAGTTGTAGATGTAAATACAAATCTAAAATGAGCAAATTTGCAAGATGAGAGTGAAAGGTGTATAATTTGCCACTAAAATTGTTGTTAGACAAGTCCAAAGAGATAAGGCTATGAAGAACTCTAATTTGAGTTGGAATGATGCCTGTCAAAGCTAATCATTTGAGTTCAAATGAGTCCTGTTTTTTTTTTTTTTAATCAAAGTTAACATACTCTATTAAGTTATAGATGTAAATACAAATCTAAAATAAGCAAATTTGGAGAATGAGAGTGAAAGGTGCATAACTCACCAATAATATTGTTGTAAGACAAGTCTAGAAAAGAGAGATTTGGAAGAGCTCCAATTTGAGTTGGAATGATACCTGTCAAAGCCAGTCATTTGAGTTGTAAATGTATTGGAGCTTATTTCTTATCCAATAAAAATTAAGGATGAATTTGCTTTATTAAGTTATAGAGGTAAATAAAACTTGAGATAATTTGGCAGATGAGAGTGAAAGGTGAATAACTCACCATTAATATTGTTGTTAGATAAGTCTAAAGAGATAAGACTTTGAAGAACTCCAATTTGAGTTGGTATGGTACTTGTCAAAACCAGTCATTTGGGTTCAAATGTGTCCTATGTTATTTTTTTATCAACGTTAACATACTCTATTAAGTTAGAGATGTAAATAAAAATTTAAATTGAGCAAATTTGCAAAATGAGAATGAAAGGTGCACAACTCACCAATAATATTATTGTAAGACAAGTTTAGATGAGTGGGATTTTGAAGAGCTCCAATTTAAGTTGGAATGATACCATTCAAAACTAGTCATTTGAGATACAAATGTGTTTTACATTATTTCTTATCAAAAAAGGAACTTTAGAACAATCATGATCTCCTCTTTTCCAACTATTTTTGCACTACCACTAAAAATATAGTGTGGAAAAGAGTTAGAAACTTCATTCGAATATTGCTACTGAGAAAATTGTATCACAAGCTGATGTATGTATTTTAGCTTTAATTTCCTTGTTTTCTAAGATCCTATTTGAATTGGAATCATACCTATCAATCCTATTTCTCTAAGATCCTATTTGAATTGGAATCATACCTATCAATCCTATTTCTCGAGGATCCAATTTTGTAAGATTAGTAAATGCACTGATGTTGAGATCTGCTACCTAAGACTAGCTTGAAAAATGGGTCCATAGATGGGTGTTATCCGAATAACACTTCCATTATCATTGCAATATACTTAAAAGGGTCGTCTGAAGGGTTTGTAAATATTCCACCTGTTGATCAGAGGGAGTACTATATATTTTGACTGGTGCTTTTAATTTGATATCACAAAACTCACACGACCTTACCACTTCTTTTTCTATGTTCTAAACACCTCTATAAGCCATCGTCAACATCAAAGTTGCAGTATGCCTAACGACAAAATGACATAACCATAACGTGAGTGATGGGAAGAGGAGATTTCATTAATATTTTCCTTTTGACAAAACCATGTCAAGTAATTTTCAAATATTTAAAAATTTAATTAATTTTAACTAAATTTTTAAATTTATACAAAGTTGTTAATAAAGCCTTATAAAAAGAATCAAATAAAGCAATACATGCTGACGAATTAATGGATAAATATAGGTAACTCCTTTTATAGGGCATTTAGTTTGGAAATTTGGACCGTTCAAAATAACATTGAATGATCTAGATTAAATGTAATTTTATTTTTATGTTTTAAATAATTTTATATTTCTATCTGTGCAAAAATTTAAAATGGAAATAATAACTTAATTATTCACATTTTTAAGAAAATAATTTTTTACGTACTTAAAATCATTGGTTAAAAAACTATAATTTAAATAGTTGAAACTATATTTGTTCACAATGTCATTGCAGTTATAAGCATGATGGCGATCATCCTTGCAATAAGCACTTAAATTGGTTCCTATTACAAGTGTCCCAATTAAAATTGCGAGCAAACATTTGGGACAGTCAAAACCCAATAACTTGGCTACAAAAAATTAGCTTGGTTTTCAGTCTCTTCTATTAATTTTGCTTCATCCTATTTTGTATTTTTCTGAAATTCCACAAAAAGGAAGTGATAGATCATCAATATTTTAAAAACCGGATAATCGAAGTTCACAAACACAGTTCTCTTAATCCAACTGATGCATAAAAGGTCACTGGCAGAAGCTAGAATAAATGTTAACTTGCAAGTATATGAGTGAGTTTTGGTAAGACTAAATGTTATTAATTTACCAGCAAGATTGTTTTGAAATAAATAATGGTAAAATTTTGAAGAGCTCCTATCTATGTTGGAATGGTACTTGTCAATAGATGTATTAGATTATGAGGAGGTAAATATGACATTTCAAAATTAAGTGAGTTTTACAAGGTAAGAGTGAAAGCAAAAGCTATATAACTCACCATTAAGATTATTATGAAACAAGTACAAATGCCTGAGATTATGAAGAGTTGCTATCTGAGTCGGAATAGCACCTATCAAACCCATTCTACGAAGACCCAAATGTTGTAGATTGGGAAATGTAGTGAGGTTTAAATCTGCTAGCCGAGGGTCATCTGGAGTGATCATTGGCTGACTCATCCCAATAACGCTTCCAAATTCATTGCAATATATGCCTTGCCAGTTACAAGGGTCGTCTGAGAAGTTATCGGTAAAATCCCACCATTTGGTCTGAAACAGAGCTCGTTTCTCCTCTTCTATCATATTAATCTGCTGCGAGCAAGCTATAGCAAAGCATAGTAACAATACCAATATCATCACACCCATCTTCCTTTAATTATGTTTGCACAAAGTGGTGATCACACAATAATGAATGCACCCATCATAGAGTCTTTATATGGACAAAAGCTTAACCACTATGGCCTTGGAAGTATTGTTTACACCGATGTCGTCCAATGACACCATAATAAAGACATAGAAAACGAGTGATGCATATGCGGGGCGGCCTTTTTGGGATGAAATTATGGTTATATATTCTCGACCACCCAAGTCAATATCAAAGTCTTCCTCACCTGTACTCCCCTGTCGGATTACTTGTTAAGTGCATATAGATAAAGAGAGAAAAAGAAGCAAAATGAAAGTTAACTCATAAATTTACTATAATAATAATAATAATACTTTCCGGCATTGTTCTTATTAAATTTAAAGGGAAAAATTGTAACAAGGTCCCACGTAGAGGAATTAAATAGAAAATGTCTCTTGAAACCATCAATTATTTTGAAGTCCCAAGGAACCGTATTGCAAGAGAATTTATTTGTTTAATTACCCAATTGGCTTTATTTTTTCCTTTTAAAGTTTATATTGACAACTGAAAGAGCAGTCGTTGACAACTTAGGTAAGGATTGGCAACATCGCGGCAGGTATTGACAACTCATATGTTACATTTTGTGATGTGTTAAGAAAATATGTTGTCAATACCTATCATGATAGTTGTTAATCCTTACACTTTAAGTTGTCAACAACTGCTCTTTTAATTGTCAATGCAATTTTTTTAAAAAAAAGACCATTTGGCAATTAAACAAATAAAATTTATTACAATGAGGTTTCTTGAGACTTTAAAATAATTTGATAATTTCAAGGGAGTTTTTTATATTTAATTCTCTTGGTTGGGACTTTATTGCAATTTTTCCAATTTAAAGATATCGATGCTTTGCATTTGCAAGGGACTACATATTTTCAAGCAGGACTAAATTGGAAAAATACATTAATATCCTAAGTGAGCTTATATTTTGGGATGGGAAAGCTTAAATGAGCTGTACAGGTTGGATACACCCCCTAGTGATGTGGTGGATACTTATCTGAAGAAACTTAGTGAACATTTCTTACCCACGTTTTTGTTTTGTTGATGAATACAAGTTTATAAGGCTTTTTGCCCCGTTTCTTACAAGAAAAAAGTATTTGAAATAATTAGAATTGTAATTAGTTGAAAAACATTCGAATTGTAATTACTGTTAGTAAAATTATAGAATGACAATTAATACAACTATTCATCATTAGTTAATGAAAGATTCAAAATGATATGCAAAAATTAGCATCGAAGCCGATCTAGGAAGGTTGCTATTCTAATAAGGAAAGCTCAGTGCATTTACTTCCCATAATAAAAAATAGTAGAAGAAAGAAATAAACGCATTTGCGCTTTTTTTTTATTTTTTTTAGGAGTGTTTAGTTTACTTAAAAAAACACTTTTACAAAGTAAGACGCAAGTTTATATAAAACTCTTTTCACATTATTACCTCATATATGGCATTGATTTTCACTAAAACACTTTATTAGTCAATGTAGTCGGCTCTCGTTCACATGGCCTTTCAATATATTATCTATTTTGCTGCCTTTTTTTAGTTTAAGAAAAATCTATTTTGGTGCCTTTTATTTTGATAGCAAAAATTACATAATGTTACACTTTTTTCCTAGATTTTTAAAGACCCCCTTTTGTATATGAGGCACCGTCGACGTCAAAATCGCTGGAGTACGCGTACGCCTCCTCAAGATGAATGGACATAATCATAACATGTGTGATGAGAAGACTTGATTTGGTTGATATTTTTATTTATTTATTTTTTGACTAAAATTATTTTAGATAATTTTAGAATTTTAAAATCTTCAAGTAATTTTAGGCATTTGTTGAAACCATTTGCCACATAATTATTTTTAATGCTATTAAGCCATATCAGCACAGTTAATTATTAGCAGCATGAGTTTAAACTACAAGGATCCAAATCCTAAAAGATAAACTCCACAACCTTAATTAAGTTTACTAAGTTTAACTGATACTACAAGGAGTAGTCTTCCCTTCTATCTTTTGTTTTTTCTCTCTTTATACCATGTTGTTAATAAAGTCTTATAAAAAGAATGGCCATTAAAAGCCCAATAACTCAGCCACCAAATTAGATTAATCTTTTACTGTCTGTATGGAATGGTGATGGTTCATTAAAAAAACAGTTTTTTTAATTAAGATTTACATAATACAAAATAAGCATACGAGGAGAGTTTTATTTCGTCTTACATAAATTTGCTTATAAACGCTTAACCAAACAGGGCATTATTCTGCTCTTTGCATCCTCCTGTTTTGCATTTTATTGATTTCCTGTATTTTCTTATTCTTAATGCGGTTTTGGTTTTTACCAAAAACCTCCCCTAATGCTAGACAAAGTTAAAGATTGTTTTTGTTGTTGTTATTGGTGGCACCACCTCCTCCTTCTCCTAAATCCTTCATAATCATATTATACACATGCACACACACACATATATGTGTAGGTGCCTAAAGTGTCAAATGTGTCGCAAATCTCCATATGCCATTTGAGTATGACATTTTTCTTAATCAGTTACGTACAATGCAAGTTTATTGAATTATTGTTGAGTTTTTATTTGATGCTTCTACGTACAGATTCCATATAATGCCAGAAAGGTTGGAGGCATTCCGCTAATCCGCCACTTGCCCTAACACGGAGCATGTTTTTGTTTCTCCTCAGCTTTCATGGTAGTGACAGCAATGGGGAAGAAAGGAGCAGCATGGCGTAATAGTAATATCACGGTGCTTATTGTTTGAGCAGTGCACATGAGAGTGAAGAGGTTCAGCCTTTTTTTTTTTTTTTTGAATGAGGTTCAGCCTTTATATAGGAAGATAATTTAATTTTTATTAAAGATAATACTTATTTAAAATATAAGAGCTAATAAAAAAGTTTGTTTTGATTTGTCCTTTTCAAGACAAATGCTTAAAATAATTACTTTATAAAAAGCAACAGATATTCTTTTATAAATAACTATTTTTTAATAAAATTTTACAAATTAATTATTTAATTTTTATGTTCAAAAAAATAAGAGTTAATATACAAATTTGTCTCGAAAGTTTTAACTTAAGAGCACTGAGCGTCTAAAAGCTTTTTTGATTGTAAATTTGTCCTGAAAATTTAAAATCATAGCAAATTTGTCCCCTTTAATATTACTGTTTAACCAATCAATGTTAGTGTTTTAATGGTGCGAAAAAAAATTGTTATGATTTTACACTTTCAAGGCAAATTTATATTAAAAAAAAACAAAGAAGCTTCCTGGTGCCTACTGCTTATAAATGAAAATTTACAGGACAAATTTGTACTTTATATGACTTTACTAACAAGTTGTTAGTTGAGATAGTAGTAGTCTCACTTATTAAAAAAAAAAAATACAAGTTCAAATTTTAAAAACTGTACTTATTAAAAAATTATTCCTTACATGGCTCTTGGCCCACTCAAGTGTAATGTAGCTTTGAGAATATGCTAATTCTGCCTAACTTCTTAAATAATTCTACAGACATGTGTCAAGAGATAAATTAACCATGAGGGCTATGGAAAAATAGAAACAGGGAAAAAAATGATAAATAAAACGTGTTGCTAGGGCAGCCCACCCTATTGGAATTCAATGATCATTCTCAATCACCAAGTCAATGTACTATAAAGCCTTTTCCTATACTCTTCCGTTTCTTATTATAAGATTTTTTAATTAAATTATACGATTTAAAAAAACAGTTAAAATTAATTAAAAACAATTAATATGTAACAAATACAATTTTTTTGAATATATCCCTTTATATAAATGGGTAAATGTGAGAGAATAATAGGAAAATACATGAAGAAAGATAATGTATTAAATGTATTAAATTAAGAGTAAAATAAGTAATAATATATTAAATGCTTAGATAAATTTAAAAAAGATCTTATAAGAAAAAACATATTTAAAAAATTAGATTTATAATAAGAGATGGAAAAGTAGTTGTATTCCCCTGTCAGAAAAATGTACTCACCATTTTCTACGTTTTATTAAAGACGTGTTTCATGAGTCATCGTCAATGTCAAAGTCATTGGAGTGTGCATGGCTCCAAACGAGTGGACAAAATAATCATAAGGGGCTTTTTTACCAAAATATAATAAACAATAAAACTATATATATATATACACACCAATATACTGTACTTTTAAAAATATTTACTAATATGCTGCATTTAAAGTCGTTTTTGACAAAAACAACTTTCAAATTACACACAAATCGTTCTTGGCACAGAATGATTTCAGAAATCATTTTGGGCGTGAACGATTCAGAAATTGTTTTTGGCGTGAATGATTTCACTTTTTGATTTAGTTCACGCGAAGAACAATTTTACTTTTTCCTATTCGCTCACCATATGAGAGAATTTCTGCCAATTAGACGTGCAAGTATGCATGCAAGAATAAGTATGTGTGCAAGACCAATTATGCGTGCAAGAATAAAAATCTCTAACAATGCATGCGAGAATTTCATTTCTCTCGTGAGGCTACAACATCTATAGCTTTATATATATTACATGTGAATTACTTCATGTCCTCTCTTCTCCTCCTACTTCATCTCTAAAATCTAAGCTTTCTCTTCTTCTTCTTCTTCTTCTCACTTGTTTCATTTTCATTGTTCTCTTGCTCTGTTACTTTTTTACTCTTGCTTCTAAACAAAACAATTTTTTTTTTACTGCTGGTGTGGGTATGTTGTTTCTCTTCTATTTTTTCTTTTAAAAAATTTACAGTTGTGATATACAATTTGAATTTTCATCCATATTACCTTTGATGAATTAATATTTCATTATTCTAATTTTCAGGAGGTGAGTGGTGGGGTCAACTATCTAGAATATTTGTACTCTTTCTAAGCTAGGTGCCTCTTATTTTAACGATAAAATTATTATTTTAAGATGTTAAGATTTTGATATAAGTTTCATATTTTTAGTATATGATTATTATTTTTTTCTTATAAAAATGTACTTCTGGAGA